GATAGAAATGTTATACAAGAATCCAAAATTTTTATAATATTCAAAAATATTTTTTTGAAACGTATCGCTTACGTTGATTATCGTGATGTCAGCTTGTAAAATCGCGATAATCGAGTTTTATTAAATCATCAGTTTGGTTTGATTTTTTTGTACGTTATCGACATGTGACATGAACATGAACCAATTTAATATATTGAAAAGTTTTTCTTTTCTTTCTATTCACATCTTTCTCGTTCTATGAACGTGTCGAATGTTTACACTCGAGCGAGTCTAGGTCAGGAACGTTGATGACGACAGTTACCAACATCTGACCTTAGGTCTAATTTTAAAATTCTCATAGAAGGTGATGTATGCAGGCGAATTATTAAAAACTATTTTTATTATTTCCTTATCTTGCATGAATATATACACCGCGGGTTTCTGTAAAATTCTGAGAGAGGCAACACTCATAGTATTAGCGTAATTGAATATAAAATAACTAAAACATCGTTCTTACTTAAATTAATTCCTTTTTTAAAAATAAAATTTTTTTAAATATATATAAATTTATTAATAAATATCCGTAGAAAATGTTTACATATTTAATAAGATATATAACACAAATTTTTTGTTTACAAGATAATAAAAAAAACAATCATAAAAATCAAATAATATTTTGTAAGATACACCTTATTTTGTGATATAGATTATATGGATTTTTAGGTTACATAACATGCATACGTAACGTCTCTCTTATTCTTTCAGTGCAATCACCTGCAAAACAGATATGTTTACATCAAATAAGTAAGAGAAGTGCTAATTACGATCAAAATTAGGTGTTAAAATTATATTTCTATATGTATTTTAAATACATTTATCTCAGATATATGCGCCGATTACTTTCGGATTTGTAACACAATCAAATTAAAATAATAATCTCATAAATTAAATATTTGATCGTCAATTTGATGCTATTAGCAGATATGTTTAACAGATATACACATATTTGTCGAAAAGAATTTATATTAGATAAAAATTTTTCTGTTTTAATGGGGGCATTTTACACAATCAATATAATTTCGCTTTAAATTAAACGGTTTTTAAAATTTATCTTAATTTTTTTATAATAATATTTCAGTTTTTTTAGAAATTATTTTTTTATATAAAAAAATCAAAGAATAATGAATAACAATTTCACATTTTACTCTGAAACAGTTTTGACTATTATAAGATAATTTATATTACACTTGCTTTTTAAACATATTTCTATCATGTATACATATAATATTGTTGCGCTCATTAGTTACACGTGCACTACTCGTAGTATATTTATGAATATAAAATCCCATATCACTGGTATAAAATAATAAAGAACGACTTAAATTTGATATGAATTTTAATATGCAATATTAAATTTTACAAATGATTATATCTAATAATTACAGAACCAATCGCAAAACATCCACATAAAAGTACGATTCATTTGAAATTCTCATATTTATAAATTGACAATTTATTTTCCAAGAAATCGGTCCGAGAAATCTTCATTTGTCGTTATTTTCCCAAAGTATTGATTTTCTGTACAGTTTACCTTACTAGAATTAAAATAAACTTTACTTTTGAAACAAAATAAATATTTACAATTTGGTTCGGCGTATATTGCGGGCACAATATTCCCGTGCTATAATAACATTTACGCAGTCTTTATTTTGTTTAGGTATATGATACAGTATATTGTATCATAAATAAATAAATAAATAAATTGACATATTATATCGTAAATAAATATTATAAATAAAGTATAATTAAAAATTTATTTCTGACGTTAATTCTTGTAATGACTACTTTTTAATTTTAAATTTAATTCAAAATTGATATATTCTATAATTTATTTTGTATCTATTATGGATCATATATTTTCTGTCATACATATAATGTCTTTTGTAGTAAATGTAGAACATCATGTCTATAAGAATTGTATAGGTATTCTCAGGAACTGTCAATAAGAAATTATTTTTATATTTAAGTTATATTTTATTGCGACACATCAAAATTCTAACATTTGCAAGATTAAAAATCAATATTGCGCTTTAAATATTATAACACATCATAAATTAAATGATTTAGATTGATTAGATGGAAACAATTTTTTATTAGATATTTCTTTATACGTATATATATGTAAATTACATGTACGCATGCTCACACATATATACACGCGCGCACGCACAATGTTATGTATGTGTAATTTATATATATAAATTGCTGCAATATTAATATATTGTGTTGTATATTATATTTGTATTGCATCTATTTTCAGTCTCAACTCTATCCAATTCTGATCTTTTCTGTGGAAAGAATCAGTTCTTCTGCTTATCTCACAGAAATTGAGGTAATTTACTATAATTATGTTTTTCGTCATCTTAACTTAAATTTATCGCTTTATATTTTTTTAATTAATAACATAATTCTTCTTGCTTAATGCTTAACTATCGTAAAATTAATTAATAAATTTGGAACTAATAATCAAAACAGCTTAAAGTATAATGCTGATCGAAATATCCTGTGTGGGAGAACAGAGAGATGGAAAGAACGGAAAGAAAGATTGGAAAAGGATAAAGGATGGAAGGAAGGAAATGAAGAAGACTATGGCTTTAAATTTTTCCATAATGTGTATTATATAGATATATACATAGATTAAAAAATTTTTAGATGTAATTAAATAAAAAAACATTTATTAAATTATTTTTTCGAAAAACTCACGAAAAAGACTAGTTTATCGAAAATTCTGATCTGCTAAAAGTAACAAATTATTCTATAATGCACGTTTCATTGTAATATAATAATAAATTAATTATTTGCAATTTTTTTTTATTTAGCTTGAAATTTTTATTTTAATTTAAAATTAAGTTTAAAAATTTTTTTAATTATATTTTAAAATGTTACGTACAATCTAATCATTAAGATATATTTTATTACACAAGATGAAATTGAGAGAAAAGCATTAAACTGATATCAAACTGATATTAATATCTTTTTGATGTTTTAATATATTATTAAATATATTATAATTTCAAGAATATTTTACATTTTCATTGTTTATCCTAGTTTTTTCTTCAAAGGTAAGTTGCTCCAAATTAAAAATAAAGAATATTGTTTTTATTATAAAATTAATTCTTACTGATATTAGCATGTTTTGATATTAAAAATGTTACATAATGTATATGAAAAATGCAGTTTAGTTGTATGTTTTATTTGAGTTTGTATTTGCAAATATTTGTTAATATATATTTTGATGTGATTGTAAAATCTATTTATACATGTGTAAATATCTATTTGTACATATATTATAAAAAAATTTTTATAATAACATAATACATAACATGCACAAAGTGTCTGGTTTAATTAAGTGTAACGCCTTTCGTGACGCAGACAGAACTGTTAAACTAAATAGAAAAATCTTCTATCGTTTTGTTATTTTCGCAATAATTACTGAAAATTAATTAATAGCAATCTATGAATGAACATGCATCAGCAACAGAGGATAGATATGTACCATTTGCGATTGATAGACGCGCGCTCTCCTCCCATCTTGTCCCGCGTTTTACACTGGTTGCTGAATCATGTAGATGTACACTCGTTCGCAGATATTTATTAATTAATTTTTTGTTAATTATTGCGACAATCGTAAAACGATACAGGATTTTTTTATTTAATTTAATTCGTTCTATCTATCCATGAAAGGCGAGTTACTTACTAGACACCTTGTATATGCATGTAAATGAGATTATATAAAGATTATATAAAGATTTACAAATCAAAGTGTTTTAATTTTAACGCCGATTACAATATTGCAGTAAATAAATGCTTGAGATGAATTATAAAATAGAAATCAAGTGATATATACACATATCCATATTTTTTTTTTAGTGTGCAACAATTGTACTGTTAACTTTAATATTAATATCTGTTAAACAATGTGCGTTTATTGCATTAATAACTGCTATTATATGTTTTTTTAATTAGACGCAGATAATAAGGTACCTGAGCCGAATAAGGCCCACCTAATTTATTTTTTTTTTAATTCTATTTATGAAGATATTGAAATAAACTAAGTGAGAATCAAATTTTCATTTCATTCACTCCCAAAAATAAAATATATTATTTATATAGAATACATGTAAATAAACGAAAAAAAATTTTATTAAACTCTGACATTGGGCTTTATTATATGCATGTGAATATAATAAGGCCCAAATAAAAAATAAATTAAAAATAACGAAGAAAGTAAACATTTTCTTTCTAAATCAGTTTTAAAATTAACTGAAACTGAATTGTTAATCATAGAAAGGAAATTTCTTAGGACTTACTCTACTTTCAAATATTACAATTATCTTTAATTTTGTTCCTAATTAACTCTTCAATCTTTGAAAATTTTTAGCAATTTGAATGCAATTTTCGTTTCTTAAAAGATAGTAGCATTGAAAATCGTTATTCTCTGGCGTAAACTCCACACATAACAAAAAAATAATAATAACAATAATAAAAATCACATAAGTGGGCCTTATTTAATAAGTACATGTTTAAAAAAAAATACACTTATCTCAAAAAAGTTATTTATTAGTTATTTTCCATAGTTAGGAAGTTGAATAATATTATAATGAATTATAATAAATTATGAAACATTGTATACTGATAAATTTTGCAGCGGATTGTTATAAAAATGGCTCAAACACACAAGTTTTTGTTGTGTTAAACAAACGTATTGCTATCGATTTCAATTCTTTAATCCTTTTTTATCTACTTCCTATGACACTATCTTTTAAGCATATAGTGCAGGCGTAAAGCGAGTTTTAAAGTAATAAATTTAAAAGTGGGCCTTATTTAGTGCCTGGGCCTTATTCGGCTCAGGTACCTTAATCTTTTTAACACATTTAAATTTCGCAGTACATATACATAAATTACATTTAATAAATTTTGACACAAGCCGATTATTTAGAAACAATCGTGTCTAATCTCACCTCTTCCGCTTCAACGTTTTTCACTCTCTTCACGATTTCGCTTGCTTTAATCAGCTCAATTTCTGCATCTTCCACCTGCGAGTGTCGTCGCTCCTGCATATCCGTGGCCAGTTCCTGATAACAGGATTCTCCGGAGCCGCGTCGGCTGCCTGCAATACACATAGCCCGGCGGAACAGACCAGCGACGACGGCGCACAGACCGCATTGCATCTCTGTGGTGCTGCCCCGGCTGGAGAGCGACCCACCATTGGCTC